GTTTGGCCGTATTGGTCTTAGCATTAGGATGCTAGATGTTTTAGGACTATTCCAAATCATTCCATGTTTCTGTCCTTTCACTCCTTAGGTTGAATGCTTAAAAGTCACTCCATACTTCAGTTCCTTCGCTCCTTAACTCCATGCTTAAAAATTTGGTTCCGTTCTTTCATTTAGTGGCCCAAGGCTTTAAAATTTGGGTTTTATACTATTGTCTTTGGGACATGTGGCATGTGGCAAATGGCATGTGACATGTGGCACATGGAGGGTTTTAGGTTCCGCTTCATGGTTATTCTATTGAAAATTACTATAAGATAAAGGGTAAAAACCACATGCACTACAATTATAACATTCACTTGCTATAGCTTGTGGGGTTATCTGTTAGTACTTAGAGTAGATTTTTGGATGGAGAAAGTGTAATTCATTTATTATAACAATAGTCAAAAAGGAATTCTCTTGGAAAAAGCATACAATTAAGCATAATAGTTTACATTCTTTATATCTAGGAATTGTAAGGCTTAATGATTTTATCTTTACTTGAGTGAATTTAATTTCTCCCTCACAGTCACCGGCCATAAAAAAATTATAAGTAAATATAAATTTAATGTGCAACTAAACGTTTTAACTATATCAACTTAATGTATAACTAAATGCCCATTTAGCTTAGGTCTTTTGTACAATGAATCTAAAGTCTTTTGATCTAGAAAAACAAATGAAAAATAAATTTCATATTCCAACTCAATATTTGGATAGAGAAATATTTAATGTTCACCATTTGCTATGATTACAGTTTTGGATCCATCCACTCTCTTTAATACTCAAAACAACAATGTCACTTCCACTAATACAAGTACTAGTAAAATTAATGCCTCAACTACACATGCTAATGAAAATGCCAAAGAGACTCAATCATAGAATTGCAGTGTCAAAGTCTTGGAAATAACATTTATCTTGAACACACAAAAAACTCTCATACCTTATGAGGTATATAAACTTCTAAAATAACTTGCTCTAGATTAATTATATTATTTTTATTTGAGTCTCTTTCCATCATTCCTCTTGTAAAATATGCTATAACTTCAAGCGATCATTGCCACCACCATGAACGATCACTCATAGAGTCATTGTGAATATGAACAATTTATCATTAGAAATATCCCTATTTTGATATAACTATTACTTACACTAAATTGATGCTTCCAATATGCAACTAATTTGATTGGGCAATTGAATAGGTCTAAAGTGAATGTAAGGTTTTTTATTCAAAGAACCAGGGGAGCATATATTACAATTCTATTACTTGATGTTTAAGCTTAATATTATAATGTCTATCATGACTTTATTAAATGTCAAATTGATTAAACATAATGTCTCTTTAGACTTACTTATATGCAATCACAATTTATATATAATTTATAAACAATGCAAAAAAGGATTTTACATTGCACCTTTTGCACTTAAATATAGGTGGATCTTTAAATGCATGAAATGCTTTTTGTTCTTTGTTCTTGCTGGTTTTTATATGTTTATCTTTACACCTAAATAATAACTAGGTTGACGACTTGATGTATGACTTACATCATCAACATCCACCTCGAGATGTCCAATAATTGAAATGCTTATTTTACCCCTTTAATAATATCAATATTTATAATCTTTACCACCATCTTCATCCAAGTCTAATACACAGATCCCTAAGTCCAAAAATGGAGCCAAAGGCATGCCATATGGCAGTGGCTAAAAGAAAAGTTTAACAAGTGTAACATATATAGACTAAAAGCTATGATTGGAGAAGTTGAGAGTAAAAGTGGAACTCTTAAAAAAGTACTAAAGGAATAAGCATGAAGTAATTGATAAGTAAGTTTTTAAAAAGGGATAAAAGAACAACTAATATATGGCAATTGTTGTGACATATAGAAGTGTTAAAACTGAAGTTGTAAGACCGAAAAACTTGAAGTGGACCAATATCAAAACCATCTCACCCCACTAAATCAAAAGCCATATATGTCCAAGGCCTAATATATCCAGAGACAGATATATTCATGGCTAGAGGGTGAAGTGAAAGCCTAAAGTGATCATTTCCTAGATTCTAAGGGATTTGGTAGGTTTATATAGCATAGTGAGGGAGGACTTATGGGAACCAATATGATCAAAGATGTCTATATTTATATGGTGGGTGATAATATAAACATTAGATATAGATGGATAAATAAGGTCACATTTAACAAGCATACCAAAAGAGCAAGAGTGGGATCCTACTAAAAAAGAAACTCTAAGCCTAATGACTAAGAAAATGAAAATACACTATATAAATCAGCTTTAAAACATCTAGAGTTGCACAAGGAATGAGCACAATAAAGATGGGTATGGCATGAAGCCATGACAGGCATCAATTAAAAAGAATATTTTACGAAGGATATTTAGTTAATATCTAGACTGTCTCTAGGATCAGGCTACATGGGATTCGGTTCCTCTCCAGCATGGAATGGAAGAGAGCTCTGGCAACAGCCATTTTGCTGCCTCTCAAATGCCATGATGATTGCATTGAAAGCGGATATCTACAGGATTTAGTGAGTTGGACTCTATCATTATGGGATATGTGCAATCTGGAGAAGGCAAGATAGCTCTGGAGCTGTTTGCTGAGATGGAAGAGAATGGTGTCTAGCTAGACAAGCAGATCTTCTTTGCAGTTGTGGTGTTTATGGCTTGCGGCAGCATAGCAGTTGGGGAAGCAAAGTGGATGGAAGGATGGTTAAGGTGGCATGCTTGGAGAAATGAAAGGCTGTTCATTCCCGGCTTGCAAAGTTGGTGTTCGTGTGAAGCTCGCTGGTGGATCTGAATTGTGGCAGCATGGCAGATTCTCGAGGAGTTTTTGACAGAATGATCTGCCACGACCTTAATTATCTCATGGAATTGAGCCGGGAAGTTGAGCTTGCCACGAGAAAATGCCACACAGCGGTATGCGGTTTCCTGGAATTCACCTATAGCAGGATTCGTGCAGGGTGGAAGATCGAGACAGCTTTAGACACATATCAACATATGCTGGACAAAGGCTTTGTCCCAGACTCTCGGACTTACGTCTCGGCTCTCGGCTCTCTTGGTGGCGAGCAAGCCAGACACTGACACGGACATCTCCCTCCTGGACAAGGCTATAGCAATTTAAAGCAGAGAGGCTGCCATCTCGACACTTGCGTGGCCAGCACTCTCGAAGCTTACGTCCAGTGTGGAAGCATAGCCGAAGCACAGGACGCGTTCGACGGGACTGTACAGCCGTGACGTTGTCTCATGGAATGCCATGGTTTGTGAGCGAGGAGCTATTCCAGCAAATGCAGGACCAAGTTTCGTCCCAGACGCTGCACCGAACGTCTGCAGCAGTCTCGAGGCGGGAGGGAAGTTTTCCAGGGGAGTTTTGGTTCGAGAGATCCACGCGAGCTCGACGTCTTCGCAGCAAATACTTTGCTCGAAATGTTTGAGAGGATGCAAAGTCACGCCCACCAAAAGATCATATAGGATCTCGAGGTAGTCCTTTAGGTGGCGAAAAGCAAATCTACGTAATCATCCTTTACACAAACGAGTTCGATCAACGTAGGTTGATCGATGGTTAGATTCACGAAACACTGCAAGAAAAGACGTACGGCGGCATCCATTAGCGGTACGGCGCCTTGTTGCTGAAGTACTCGTCGCGGCGGGCGTTGCGGAAGGCGCAGCATCCGACGGAGTAGGCGACGACGAGGAAGACGAAGACGATGATGTTGATGATGGCCACCTTGCGCCAGTCCTTGCGGATGTTCTCCAGCACGCCCGCGCGGCACGAGTTGCAATCGAAGCACAGCCGGTCGGCGGCGTTGTTCCACGCGAAGCAATCCGTGTCGGCGGCTGGCGAGGCGCTGTTGATCCAGGACGTAGCGTTCTGGTAGACGAACCCACACGCGGTGGGGGGCTTGCAGCACCCGGACTGGATCGATCCAACACTAAAACATCAGTGGAAGAGGAAGCATCGCCCAGCAAAGACCACAAAGACCAAGGAAGAATCTATCAAGCGCAAGAAGACGAAACATCGCAATCCAAGAAGAGATTATTTCGCCAGAGAAGGGAGAGAGAGAGCGACGGGAATCACATCATCCAGGGAATCGCGATCAAGCTCAAGAATGCCACAAGAGTCGCAAGCGATAGGGTGAGCGAGAGAGAGAGAGATTCTTGCCTCGAGAGGAGTGAGCCGCGCGGCGGAGAATGCAGCCTCGGTGGGATACTCGTTGTCGAGATCGCGGCAGACCTTGGCGTCGGCGAGGCAGCTCTTGATCCTGTTCCAGTTGCCCGTGTTCTTGACGCGGCGCTCCAGCCAGGTGGAGTAATCCCCGAGCCGGTACTCCTTGTAGCCCTTGCCGGACAGCGCGTGGCCGGCGCCCCTGTTGGTGACCGCGAACGCGAAGATCGTGAAGGCGAGCAGCAGCACGATGAGCAAGAACATGACGAAGAGATAGATCCACAGCAGCCATGACACCCTGAAGCAGCTGCCGATGAATCCCGCCAGCGACACCACGAGGATGAAGACGCCGATGGCGATCACCGGGCCCTGGAGGAATCGCATACAAACCGTGTCGTGGCGCTGCGATAGCCAGATCCCAGCGCCGATGACCGGGATTGCCAGCGCCAGCGTCAAGAAATTCAGGATTCCTGTGAGGTAATTGCTAAGCCCCATTTTCTCCCCTCTTGCTCTTCCCTCCCTGTTCTTCGTCTTCCCTTCTTTTCTACACGATTGACCTAAGGGTAAGGGCGAATATCCCTCGGGTAGACCTGGGATATTCGTTCCTTAGGCTTGACGAGCCAGGTGTCAGTAATTCAAACTGGCCCCTCGGATTAGCCACGTCACATCTCCGTCCTTAAATATCGGGCGTGACCACGTGTCCTGAAAATATCTGAGACATACGGTCGTACAGATATACATTCACAATCAATACAGAAGAGGTTTTGGTACATGGCCGCCATAGCTAGGGTTTAGGGTTTAGGGCAGGAGAGAGAGAGAAAGAGAGAGAGAGAGAGGAGAGGGAAAGCAAAGAGCGCAACGGTCACGGCATTCGTAGCGGCAGTGGCTGCGGCGGCGGCGCAAGCGCCAGCGACGGCGGCATTCCTTGCGAGGCAGAGATCTCTCGATTTCTCGGACGATTGGAGGTGAGCTCGCGATTCAGTCGGCCACAATAGCTAGATTCCTCCAGGTAGTCACCATAGGGCAGGAGGGCAATGGGGCGTACATGCCCGCGTTGCCGCCCATGGGCTGCAACGAGCTAGCGGAGCTGGAGCTCGAGTCAGTGGCGCTGTCGGCGGCGCACCACCACCACCACCACCACCACCAACACCACCAACACCACCAGCCGGGGCTGCCCACGGCGGCGGCGGCGGTAGCAGCAGCGGCGGCGGTGAAGCAGCCCAAGCCCAGGAGCGCGGCGCGCAAGCAGCCCAAGATCGAAGCCCTGGATTCCTCGTCGCCGCCGGGGCAGCACGACCACACCAAGCTGGGCGTGAGGAGCAATGCAAAGTTTAAGAAGCCGATGCTCAACCCCGGCCACGCCTCGGGCTGGCTGGCGATGATGGAGACGGACGCGGCGGGGTTTCTCCTCGGCCACCACCAGCAACAGCAGCAGCAATGCGAGCAGGAGCAAATCGCGGGTGGCGTCGCGAGCAACAACGCCGCGGCCTCCCCCGCTGCCGCCACCGCCACGAAGGCCGAGAAGTCGGGCAAGAACAGTGGTGGTGCCAAGGCCGAGAGCTCCACCACCCGGAAGTACTACCCGGCTCCGTTCTGCTCGTGCACCGGGACGAACCAGCAGTGCTACAGATGGGGGAATGGAGGGTGGCAGTCGGCTTGCTGCACGACCAAGATCTCCATGTATCCGCTGCCCATGAATCCCAAGAAGAAAGGCTCGCGAGTGGCGGGGCGGAAGATGAGCGCCGGGGCGTTCATGAAGCTCCTGGACAGGCTCACGGCGGAGGGCGTGGACGTGAACTCGTCGGTGGATCTTCGCCCGCACTGGGCCAAGCACGGCACCAATCGGTACGTGACGATTAAGTGATGGACAAGGCTCTTTCTCGGCTCGATCATCTCTTTGGTTCTTCTACTCTCGTTTCTTTCTTTCTTTCTTTCTGCGTCTAATATCACAGGAGAGAGCTTTGATCGTCGATCGAGACCACAGCACGCACTCCACAAACGCACATCAACCATGGTATACAGCGAGAAATTACAAGGTGTAATTCTACCGATGATGATGAAGTCTAGAAAACAAAAAATGTAGCTATGGAGATTTTTAAGGGAGGGCGAGAGAGGGTTATGTACATTTGTGAAGCAGATTGAGAGGAGAGGGAAATTATTTGCAAGGGGCAACACTACTTGCTTATAACTGTACATGGTTTTTCTCTCTATATTATTTCTCCCTCGCGGAACATGCTTTGGAATATTTTTAGCATTATAGCCGTACAGATATTTAGGGTTCTTCGGCGCAACAACGCCGTTGTGGAGATCTGGCGAGGAGCTTTGAATGCTGGCCAGTGATCGATTGGCTTTGGAAGGTATTTTGCTAGAGTTGGATGTGATAGTATCGTCTGCCCGAAATGCCGTTGTCGAGATCTTGCGAGGACCTTTGTTTAACAATGAATGCTGGTGAGCGATCGATTGCCTGAAAGGTATTTCGCTCCAAGCGCTACGCATATACTGATTGGCTGCTTGAATGAAGACAGCTTGGATATCATCTGGATTTACAGGAAAGGCAAGTTCCAATTGTGACTGATGCACAATATCAACATCGACGATCTAAATATACGTTTCGGACTTGATGTTGTTGCTCAAGGACGCGATTTCTTCTCACCAATCCACGGATTTATCATTGGACAGTAGATTTGGAGCACTGCAAAGGTATATAAACAGCTCGGTAAAACCGTTTTGGAGTTTCATATAATTGTCCTGGTTCGTCCTCTGATAGTTTTCTGTTCGTTTTTTTATTCTTCTTCAGCTAAAAAGCATTTCCGCACTTCCAACGATGTTCTTGGTCCTTAAGTTCTTGCTCAATCTTACGACTGTAAGTTTGGAACGATTTGCCTTTTATGACTGAGCTGAATCAGTTCTCAACAAAATTTTTTCCTGGAAGATAGCTGGTTTTTTTTTTTTCCTTTACGAGCATCATCAGTCTTACCAGTCCCGACAAGAAGACAGAACAATCTGGAAACTACGAAACAAATCCTGTTCTTGAGTTCTCGCTCAACCTTACGACGGAACAATTTGCCTTTCATGACTGAGCTGAATCAGTTCTCAACATTTTTTTTTTCTGGAAGACAGTATCCTTGTATGTAGTTGCTGGTTGTTTTTCTTTCTTTCTTTACGAGCATCATCAGTTTTACCAGTCTTATAAAACACCGACAAATAGAGACAGAACAAACTGGAAACTACGAAACAAATCCAGGCCTAAATACACGCGGTCCAGCGCGTGCCAAATGTGCAGTGAATACTACACAAAAGCAAGACGTGTCGAGTGACTGCTGCTCGATGCTAACTTGGACGCTCAACCAAATCCAAAACAAATCTCAACAGCCGCAGGTCAGTGTTTGTTTGTTTTCATGTTTCCTTTGTACTCCTCCTCCACAAACTTTGGTGCCGTTTGCGAGCAGGAAAGCAAGATCTGTGGTCACGAGCCGGGAGTTTCTCAAATCCGATCTATCCAGGACACTCTGGAATTAAGAGATAAGGCGACATCCAGCCAGTAAGATATATTCATATATCCGCGAATTCAGAAAGCTGGTATGCGGTTTGATGTTTACATGTAGCAGAGCTCTTTCTTTGCAGCTTCGCGAGGAAGACGCTCGCGGACGCCTCCTCGCCCGCTGGCTCCACTATGACTTCCACTGCTGCACACAAGACAGGCGGAACGCTTGTCTTTGCTTGAAATTTATGGCAACTTGGAACAAGCGACGAGCGAGGGGTGAGCGAGTGGTGAGCTCCTTACTCGGGCTTTTATTGTTGTTCTTGTGTTCTTTTTTATCATTTCCTGTCTTACGAACACGCTCCACAGCGCAGTGCATGACACAACAGTGGAGCCGCTTTGAAAAAACTTAGCGCCGGAGCGCAATGGAGACGAAACAGAAGGCAAGCACAAGCGTCAAAGTTTTGCGAGCTCTGAGAAAGAAACAGACAAAGTTTTGCAGAACTTCGCGTTTTTCTTTTGGCAGCGGCATGACCTCACGCAGCAGTACACCGAAAAAGTTTGAAGAGTTTGAAGCTTGACTGTACTCGTTCCTAGACCACGGACAAATGCCAATTGGGACCAGCCACGGGAGCTTTTGTGTTTTTCTCGTTGCTGAAAGGTAAAGAAAGAGAGAAAGGTAGACCGGCTATTGTTTGCGTGCTCTTTAACTACTTACAGCTGCCTCGCTGTGTGCACTGGTCCCGAACGTTCCCTTTTTTGCATTCCTTACTCTCACCAGTCACCATTTCTTTTTTTTTTTTGGTGGTGTGCAATCCAGGAACAGAAGATACGTATCATCAGCTCAGCTCCGACGGAAACGAAGGGTGCTCCGGTCAGCTGACTGAGAAGCAGGAGCAGAAGCTGCTGGTGTGTACAGGTGCAGGACCAGTTTTGGAGTTGTAGATTGTATTCCCAAAGCAGAGCTAGTGGCGCAGTTGTTACGTAGGTATGCATTGGTTTAAGAGCTCTGTTTTGGTTGTAGAGAATCAACTTCACCAAGTTGGTGCTTTCCCTAAAACTTCTCAAGTTTTTCTCTTGCTTCACAACTTAGTGATTGATTGAGCTGGCTGTGGTGCAGCTTTATCGGGGCGGGGGACCCTGATTTGAAGATAGTTCTAGAGGATTTTAGTTGGAACTGAAGAATCATCTCTGTGCGTCTCGAGAGCCTTCCTCTCATAAGATGATTATAAAACGCGTTTCATCAAAGACAAGGGCTCTCTCTCTCTCGTGACTCCCAGCTCGTGTGATAGAGACAAGCTCGCAGGAGCCAAAACGAAACGACTTGTTAACTGCTAGTCACTATATTGCTCGCACTCAACGCACGAGCTTGGTTTTCTTAACTTCTAGATCTTCCTAGATTGTTAAACTCGTTCTAGAGCATTTTTGTTGGAAGCGGTGCTGGCCTGGCCAGCCAGCGTCTGGTTCTTCATCCCTGTCGAGAAGATCTTTGAAATGCTCGGGAAATATCTAGAGAGGCGTAACGAGTGGCTCAACAAGGCACAACACACACGCAGACATCTCAACACTTGTAAGGAGAGATCGAAGATTTGCCCCGCTTTGGTCGTTTTCTCCCAAGGAAGACCTGTGACCCTCCCAGGGCCAGGCTCCTCTTTCTTTGCACAAAGTATACAACACTTGGAGCTAAAGTTTGGATCGAGCTAGGCTGGCTTACATGTGAGATATGTGCTTAAATCCACGCTTTCCAACAAAAACACACACTAGATTCGATTGGTCATGTCATTCCATCCATTCAATCCATCGCTTCCAGGGGAGCGGGGAATAAACATGAATGGAAAAGGTGGTGTACAAATGTGTGGTTAATGCCGCGGCAGGGAGGACAGCAGCAACAAATCCACGAGATGGTGTTGGTTTTTGTTGCTTTGCATTTGTGCTCATTCCCACCATAATCCTGTTATCCACCGCCCAAAGGCATCTTTTCTGCAGTTGGTTGGAGATCATGGAGGCAAAGCCCACACTTATAACCGATGATCGTCACATTCTTATATATAACTTTCTATAGCTTTTGTATTTCTTAGTTTAATAAGGTCTGTACACGGATGCGGTCGCTCGTAGGCGACAATTAAAAACGCTGCTGCATTCCAGCAAGTAGAAAAAGAAAGAAGAGAAGAGTATGTATGGGAAGAGAGGATAATTCGTCCCGGATTTTGGCTGCTACCTTTGGTGGCGTCGATCAAATTCCCTGGAGCAAATAGTGCTACTGCGAGCACTATCAAAAAACGGGCCTCCATCGATGCCATCCGCTTGAGTAGCAGGAAAAAAGGAGCGAAGGAAAAAGCGAGAGAAAGAGAAAGAGAAAGAGAAAAAGAGTGTAAACCCCCATTTCGTATGTGTAGATGCTGCTGCTTGTGTTGCTGATAGTAGTTTTTTTTGTTTTTCCTCCGCGTGATTTTGCGGTTTTCTTTTTCGTCAGTTGTTTGTCACTGTGCCGGAACTTCAATCGATGTCGGAACCTCAAAGTCCTTATTGATGTTCATCATGGCGAGCCTTGAGTCGAGGAAGTTCTCAATGTAAAACTTCCTGCAATGGAATAATCGAAGAAAATGTCGATAAGTTTGCGAGTCTAGATAGCTTATCAATCGACGCTTTTTTTGCCCACCTTGCTTTGCTTTCTTCCTCGGACTGATGCGATCGTTCGTGTTGTGTCCTGCATGGAACATCCGTGTAGAGAAGCAAGGCCTAGACAAAGCAAAGAAGAAGAATGCCAAACATTGAGACGGAAGGAAAAAAAGAGAGTGCTTTTTCGGTACCTCGATATAGTTTGTCACATCCAGAGTGAACCTATGAAACATTCCCGGAGGCAAGACGATGAGATCGCCCTTGCGGACACGGAAGCGTATCCACTTATCATCGTAGTCACGAATGTCCCAATATCCTGGAAAAGAAGTTCCAAGGATGAAGCAATCAATCCCCCAAAACAAAAAATCTTCGAGGTGGGCGGCTCTCACCTTCGCCGTCGAGGATGAGACGGATCTCCTCCTGCGAATGCATATGCTCCTCGAAGAACATCTTTATCTTCTGCTCGTAGTCTTCCATGGCCTCCGGCGACACGATCTTGGTCTCCTGCAAGAACACCCATCAATGAGAACGAGGCAAAAAAAAAAGGGAAAAAAAGAAATCTTTTTCCAAGTGTGAAAAGGAGAAAAAAAACAATTAAGAAAAGAAAGAAAGGAAAAGAAGGAAAGAAAAATGCTCTGGCAAACGGCGAAACGGAACGTCCACCATAGCTAGCTACGAAGGAAGGAAGGAAGTCGCAAATATCTTCTTCCATTCTTACCGCATACTTGTATCCGCGCTCCTTCTTAATCTTCTCGAGCATTGGACTGTTATTCCAGTCCGTCACGTCCAGCTTCCATGTCAAAACTCCCAATCCTGGATCAGCAAGAAAACCGTAAGAATGCGAGGAATTGGATCGCAAAAATCGATTTTTGGAGCTCCCACTGCATGGGAACTGCAAAAGAAAGGAGGAGTTTGTACCATGGACGTGTTCCAGAGGGACTGGCCTGTTTGGGGAGTACTTGTGAGGCAGCCTCTGATCTTCATCGCTGGGATTGTACTCCCAGGCTTCGATGTCCGACACATAACTTTGTTGCTGCAAAAACCAAGAACAAAGAGAGAGAGAGAGAGAGGGAGTGAGGGAGTGATATAAAAATCAGTGGATGGACGCTCACCTCCTCATTGCCAGCAACTTTGCAGTAGTCTTCAGCCTTGGCCATGATGTTTTGGGAGGGATTACGAGCTTTCAAGATTTCTCTCGTCTACTGTAAGAGAAGAAGAAGAAAAAAAAGCTCCCGCTTTGCTTCTTAGCTGTAGTCAAGGGCCGAGCGAGAAGCAGGAGTTTGAACGGCAACCTCTCAAAAACAGATCGAGCGACCGAGAAATCGAGAGTAAGAACAAGATTTGGAGAGCGGCGAAGAAGAACAGGAGAGATTCCAGAATGGAATGGAAGTGAATGAAGCGGAATATAGGATACATACGCATATATATATTCTTCCAAATTATATGTTAGCTTAACCCATGTATTTTGATATGACACGATAGCCACCATAGCTAGCTGTTACCTTACCACCACCACCACCAGAGAATTTTCCTGGTTTTAATCTTTCCAGGGAGACAAGGAGAAAAAGAAAAGGGTGAAATTTTCCTTTTTTGCCTTTTTCTTTCTTTCCTTTTTTTTTCTTGGAGAATGCTGGGGCTGCTTTGGGCTTCAAGCTTTGTGCTTTGTGTGTAAGCATCATTGCAAACACAAATAGTTAGGCAAAAGTTGACAAGGAGGGCATGCCTAGCCTTGAGCTCTTTCTACTGAAATGGCTAACAAAAGCTTATGTGATCATCCATTCCAAGGTTTGGAAGCCAAAGTTTTTACCCAAGATTTCGAGCTTTTTCTTCCTTTTTTTTCCCCATGACCTTCTACTTCTTTTGGTGTACGAAGGAAGAAAAAAGATGCAGTAGCAATGGAATCTTTCCAAGCGAATGTCGGGAAGCTGTACCCTCGACTGGTTGCATCGGAGTCTGCTATTTGGCAAAGCCTTTATGTTGGATGCCAGGCTAAAAGGGAAACCATGAGAGTCGCGAGGGTGACGAAAGAACCAAAAAAAAGAAAGAAGAACAAAGAAAAGCTTGTAAACTTTGTGGTGACACCAACATCACATTTTTATAAGCATTAGAGCGACCACTTTGGTTGGTCCCTCCTCAGTGGTTTAGTCAAAACACAAAAACAAAGCTTTGCTAAAAGGAGAGATCTCTAGCTTTTGTTTTAAAGATCTGTGTCTCTGTGTCTCTTCTTACTGTGAGAGTGTCATTTTTGTAACAACGAAGCAATCACACAGATCAAGAAGGAAACGATCAGCACTAGGCTCTTGCCCCTTTCCTTGTTCTTGCAGTCTTTCTGCTAGATTCTTTCAGGAATGACGTATGAACATTGGTGTTTCGGCTTTCGAGTGGTGTTACGAGTCAGATATTTTGTCCTGCGGCGATTCCGTTTCTCATACGACCGCGATCGCCCACTCCAAAACGATATAACAATTCGTCCAGAAAAGAAGAAACACTTGGTTTTGTACAGCATGACTTGTTGTTTACAAGCGACACACCCCCTCGGTAACATATTCCACTAGAACGCAACGTACACTGGAGGGGAATCTTCTGATCTCTACGGTTACAAAGTGTTCCTTTTGCTTCGAAAATGCCCAACCTTCTTTCGGTGCTTGCGTAAGAAAACCATGTGGTATAGTGTATCTCTGTGATGCAAAAGGCTACGTATGGCGCTATGACTTCCAGTTTTCTCGGTGTTGAATTAAACAAGCACACACTCATGCCACTATATGCTTTGCCTGCTCGCTGCTGGTCTTTGGAAAGACCACCACCTTGGAACTTTGCGAGCGATCATAGCTTTGCGTTGTGCTTCGTCAGAGACAGTCAGAGGGAGTCAGAGAGCCTTGACCCACACATCAATCTTCCATGGACAGATCGCTCCATGTATAACAAAACAACAACAGGAAAAGAAAAGAAAGAAGTTGCCTTACACTCGATATTCTAGATACGAGCTATTGTATTCCACGACCTTATCAATCCGTGTTGTTTGTCGCGAATTTCCGTCCACTGACCCGATCCCTCCAAAGAGTGAGAACTTTCACCAGAAGTTGGGAGGGACAATTATATCAAAGTTGGGGTCACGTATCGATCGATCAGTGACTTGTAAGATTGTGCTGTGGGCCTTATATATATTCTCCTGGCCCTTCCCAGGAGCCAAGAAAGAAGCATCAATCCAGTACACTATAGCGATACGAAATGAAGAACCCTAACTCTTTATCAATCCTAGAGCCCAGTTCCATTTGGTTGGATCCAGCCAAGCTCACTGGGCTTCCTCGATCACGCACTTTGGTCGTCTGATGATGGTACTTGATCTCCAAGGACAATCATAGCAAAACAACACAAGAAAAACAACACCGGAATGATCTGATCAAACAATTTGGAAAGAAGAAAAGAGTTTCTAAACACAACATTGATGAATGTTCTCCCCAGCAAGCAAACAAATCAATCAAAGCTGCCACACACGGAGCAAAAAGAAAAGAAAAGAAAAGAAAATCGAAAATTCTAGATTTTTTCAAATTTTAAAAAACTTGCCCGCGCTTTACCTCATCCGCCAAGTCGGCACGCCAGCGTGGCGGTCGTGGCGCCACAGCCTTGAATGTGGCAGCCGTCGACCCATCCATTTGCTCCGTTTATCTCGCCGCGAATCGTGGCGCCTCCGTAGCCGGTGGAGGGATCCAGTACAACTGCAGATCTTTTGCCTCGTCCGGGCACACAATTTTTTCTTGGAGCTTTTGGGGGGTTCATTCCAATGGTTCGTGAGGGACCAGTGAGACTGGAACAAGGGTGTCGCAGCATTGATTTCACCCCGAACAAGCGGCCAAAGCATCGGAATGCCGTGACATTATCAATGCGCGTCGCCATCGCCAATCGCCAAAAATCCACCCATTGATATGCGACCAGCGATTTGAGGAGCTCGCTCTAGATCGGTGGATCGCCCATTTGACGAGATTGATGGTCTCCAGCTCCAAATTCTTTGATGTGCCAGGCCAATGTCAATGGCCCCCAATTTAATCCCGGTTCCGGCTGCCCTGGGGACAAGTCAGTCCGAGAAAAGAGCGACCCCATCGCTTGCGTTGCGGGTAGTGAGGTGTCGCGCGTTTGTCGTGTACAAATCATCGCGTTCTCTCTCTTTTTTTCTATGCTATAAAATTCGTATAGCGACCTTTGCTTGCATAATCGCCATGTGAAGATCATCCGTCCATCGTAGGGGGAGGATTTTTTAACAAGGAAATACCACTCTCGCGTTCCATGCGCACATTAAAAAACTACGTACCGACCAAAAAGCTTCCTCTTTGGAGGGCAAAACATTGAAAAAGAGAATGTCAGTAACAGGAGCTTGTGGTGGGCTGGAGGTATAGCTCAGTGGTAGAGCAATTGACTGCAGATCAATGGGTCTCTGGTTCGAATCCGGATATCTCCTCTTTATGTGCACTGATTTTGATCCATTTTCAGCAGTTTTATTTGTATCCATAGTTATATAAAGATGAGGCTGTGGAGAACTTAGATCTTGTCCATTTTCAGCAATTTTATTTGTATCCATAGTTATATAAAGGTGAGGCTGTGGAGAACTTAGATCTTGTGGATAGAAGCAGCAGTGAGGCTGTGCAAAGCATAAGTTGATGATCAAAGATAACGAACTGTCTCTTCTACCACATGATACCCTATTATATGGTATCAACAACCATGACTTCCAATCAAACAAAACTCAGTTGGAAGTAAGACATGTATATATTTGGACTACTTGAGATTTAAATAATTTAACATATTATCGTAAAAGAATGCACTGTAAAAAGGTATTATATTTTATCTAATTTTTTCATTAATTAATTTCACAACCAATAAGATTTTATAGTATTTATGGACGAGTAGTGTCCCTTTTTTAACATATCATATGCAGTTGGGACTATAATCAGCTTCTTGATCAAGTCCACCACAGCCTTGTCCAAGGCAGCTTAAACTCAATTGAACTCAATCTCGTCTTGTAAGTTCTTGAGCCTATCAGAAACTCTTCTTCCCTACTGGCTACCAAGAGAGACTTCAACATCAGGAAATATGACTCAGTAGCAGTAGCTTGTGTCAATGGAATAGACGACACTTCGAAACACACCAGGAACTGGGAAGACTGGCTAAGTTTCTAAGAAGTAGCATGCAAGAAGAGAAAGAATCACAGTACCTCAATACGGCCGCGAGGGTCATCTCCTTATGTTGCATGTCGATCACTGATTCCTACATCCAAGAGAAGTCAGTTACCAGCCATTCTTGTGTCCCATTCGGGCGGCTTACATGTTTTTGGACGCTGCTCAGCGAGCACACCCTCCATTTAACTTGTAAGAGTTTTTTATTGCAAGCTTTTATCGCATGGATCCGCGCGGACAAAAACGCCGGCTCCATGCGCCTTCATCCGAAATCCTGAACTGCTTCTGTTTGAAAACGGTAGAAACCTAGCTTTCAGAATAAAATACCTGCGTAGCCAAGACGGAGCTGGAAGCTTGCGCTGTTGGAACTCAGTGAAAAGAGGTCTCGGCCCTGTGTATGCTGGACAGGAGTCCATACGCACTTGAATCGCCTGAGTCCATCGTCGAAGCATGGCCGTGAGCATGAGTACCAATCCCGACTTCGTTGTGGCTCCGGCAAGCACCCAGCAGACACCTCCACGACGCAGCATCGGCTTTCGTCGGCATCGACTTCAACAGGTCCTCGGCCGCATCCACCTGACCAATGCGACCGAGGAGGTCGATGAGGCACGAGAAGTGTTCCAGCGTCGGAGCAATGCAGTGGTCCTCGACCATGGAGTTGAAAAACGTCCAGCCATGTCTCAAGAGCCCCCCGTGGCTGCAAGCCGATAGAATGTTGGTGAAGGCAATCTGGTCTAGATCGTTGCCTTCCAGTCTCATCTTCCAGAAGTTTTCCAGTGCGCTGCTGCCTTTGCTTCCTCGAGCGTATGCAGCGACCAAAGAGCTCCAGCTTATCGTGTTCGGCGTCTCTAGCTCGGCAAAGACGTTCTTGGCGAGCTCCAAGCAGCCACACTTCCCATACATGTGTACAAGCGCGTTCCCCAGGACGACGTCGAGCGGCGCTTCTCCGGCGAGTAGAAAGCTCTGGTGGACGAGCTTCCCGTCCCTCAGAGCCCCGGCCTTAGCACAAGCGGATAGAACTATCGAGAGCGTGCCCTGGGACGGTTTCATCCCTTCCAGGTCCATGAGCTTCAGCAGCTCAAACGCCTGCTCCTTCTGATCGTTTTGTGCGCAGGCTGCTATGGTTGCACCCCAGGCGTCGAAAGTTGGCTCGGGAATAGTCCGCAGCATCTTTCTGGAATCCTCTACCTGGCCTCGGAGGCCATAAGCCGCGATCATCA